GAAGAATGGATTTCTACCTCACTTCATGGACAAAGAATCATGCAAGCTTGTCATGAAAAGGAAGAGGACGGGACTACGAGCGTCTGGGATCAAACGGCGACTGATTCGGAGTCCGGACGAGGGAGAAATGAAGCGTTAAACAGAGGCTGGGTAAGCCACATGGGCATCCTGGAACCCCACACGGCCGTGCGGGTCGTGACCGTGTGGAAAAATCACCGAGCCTTCACACGGGCAGCTGGGGAAAGCCACACGGCCGTGTGGCCTGGCCGTGTGAGTCGGGAATTGCTGTTTAAAACCCGATTTTCAGCAAAAGGAAAGGGGGAGAGCTGGGTTTTGGATCCCAAACACCCAAGGGACGAATCCTAGAGAGAGAGCGACTTGGGAACATTCTTGGAGCTATTTTGGAGGATTTCTTTGCCATTGGAGCTCGGGAATCAAGCTTGGAGATGGAGATTGAAGATCTAGATCAGATTTCTGGAGTCTCTCTCTTCTCTATGGAGTAACTTCCCTTCACTTAGGTTTTGAGGAACCCTAGCTATGTTTGTTTGATTGGATGATTGTATGAGTACTCTGACTTGATAATCTTGAGTTCATATTCAATCTATGCATGTTTTCACGATTCAATTCTGCTTTAGTCGAGATTATTGATTCTGCTTTGATCCTATGAGAGCGAATACCTGATTAGGTCAATAGAGCACCATAGATTGATAGTAGTGGATCGATTGCTTTAGTCGAGGGTTGATTCACTGCTTTGTATTGATTGAGAACCTCATTCGATAGAGGGAGTCTAGTTCAGAACGCCTTGATCGATTGTTCTAGAGAAGGATACGTCCCTCTAGGCAATTGACTCAAGAGGTCCTTGTTCCTTTAGTCGAGACTCAAGGTCTAATTAAGGATTCTCCGCATTGTGAATGAAAGTGAAACATGTTAGAGATCATCAATCGTTAATCTGGCTAGTGGCTAGGGGGAATCATACCTAAGTGAGTTCCCAATGTGTAATTAGATTAACTTTAACTGTAGTTTGCTAGAGTAGTTTTAGTTCTTTCATCTTAATCTGTTTTTCTAGATAATGAACTGAAGCTGAGTAATAGTAACTCTAGAGACCCGTGGATTCGATATTTATTACTTGAGCCACTATACTGCAGTCCCTTTCATTGGTTACACTTGGCCATTGTTAGGAGTTGTGTTTTAGCGAGTCAACACCATGATATTCTCATATGGAAAATGTTAGGTTTCTGACCAAAACCATTTGTAAAAGGTGGGAAACTTATGATAACTTGTTGGTTAGATGCGAACCAATACTATCACTTGCCAGCTAGCATGTTCTCGACAAGAGACCGGAAGGCTTAGCTTGTTATCATAAGCAAAGTGATGTTTGATTGGATAACCATCTAAATGTATCCATAGTGAGACAACCAATCTCGCAAACATCGGGTTGCAATTAGATAAAATACACGTGATCATCCATTTGATGCATCAACCCATGAAATTCACAAATGATCTACATGACTGAAGAATTGTTCTGCATACACGTCCATAAAATCTCAAGAGATTTGCCAACTCTTTTACAAGCGATGATTAATTGTTCTATTTTACTTGAGAACAAGCATGCCATAATAACTCCTGAATAATCCTTTGACTTCTCGTATGATGTTATCATGAATTCTTGAAGAATTTTTTTTCACATCAAGATCGAGATGGTCTAACCGGGCCAACCAAATTATCAAGTTATCAAATCTTGTAAACTTCTAGTTTACACTTTTATTTTTACTGATAGTACTAATATACATGTAGTTAGGGGTGGGCGCGTGGGTGGTTAATCCTCGGATTGACATCGAGTCACCCACAAATAACCCGACCCGCACGTAATGGGTGATTGATGTGGGTGGATTGTGGATTGTTAAATCTCTCACCCGCACTTATGTGGGTGGATTGCGGGTCACCCGTATGACCTGCATCCTATTTTTACATGGAAAAATGTTGTTTCTTATAGTATCGAATATTTATCATATTTTCGAACTGCACTGTAGTCTGACCATATACTTCAAAAAGTGAAGAATAAAGAATAGTTTTGACTACTATTATTGGTTATTGTGTTGTGCAATATCCATTGGCAATGGATATTGGTATGCAAATTATTGTTAATATCCATTAAATATTGGGATACAAACTACAAATTATTAATTGTATCAAAATCACAAATTATTGATACAATCTTACTAATTTGCTTTGAACTTATTATAAATGTTAGTCAATTTTCTTAATGGCTAGTTGGAGAATTATTTTTGCGGGTTAACCCTCGACCCAACCGCACCCATCCGTCACCCACCCAACCCAACCCGCATAAGTATGTGGGTGGATTGCGGGTCCCATATATTCCAACCCACTAGTAGGCGGGTGGGTCAATTTTAGACCAAAACCCACCCAACCCGCCCATTGCCCACCCCTACATGTAGTACATATTTGTGATGCAAATATTAGTTTCACTGTTTTCTTGATAAGATATTCATTTTTGTAAATATCCATTTAATTGGGTAATGCATCATCACTAGGTAGTTTGGTTCCTTCAGGCCACAAAACATTAGCTCTTTTAGAGCTTTACCATATTTTTGTACCATATTTCGCCCTTTCAGGGACTTATGATTTGATGCATTCTTAGTAAACACATATTCACAGTGACAATCATTACAAATTGTTATCACGAGTACATAATTTAGTTACTTCAAGTAACTAAACATAAGCTCTTCGGAGGCTTTTTCTTATTTATGTACTCTACCATTAGTTTATATGAAATTTTTCTAACACTCATACTTTACAAAAACATACTAAAAATAATAAATGACAAATATATCAAGTTACTTGTTCTATCAAATGAAATTATGCATGAAAAAATAACGACACAATAAAACATAAAAGAAGATAAGAATCATAATACTACAATTGTGAAAATTAAATAAGCTTTATTTGGAACAATACCATCACAAACTAAGTGATTTTAAATTTATATATGTCCTTCAACATTGATAAAAAAAAAAAGATATATCTTATCATTATACATATGTACATTATGTTATAATGCCTTTGATAATGCAATTGTTGTGTCATCCTTATTTATAATTCTTCTTTTTCTCCTCTTTTCTCACTTCTAGTGAAAAGATCCAAACAATACATTTTAATATATATAATTATGTTTATAGCTCCATTCACTTCGGGGAATAGATTGTTTCATTCACTTTTGGGAATGAAAATTTCTCAAGTGCAATATCATTTTCATCTTTAATGGAGAATATACCAACTTATAATACAAAAAATATTTTCCATAATATTGATATTGCATGAGCGTATATGAATTTGATTTCCCCTTTGATTCTTGGTAGAATAAGGCCTTTTGCGTACAACGGGTATGAGACAAACGCATTTTTCCATTACTATGATAACATACATAACCAATATTCTTGTTACCATGTCCACTTCTTTCTTTGCCCTTGGATTCTTCAATTTCCAATTCTGGAGAATATATGGGCTCTTGGAACTTGCATTTTCTACATATTAATGTAGGAATGATAAGAATAGGATAACATGAAAAACAAAGATATTAACTCATCACTTATATTACTTTTCTTGTTATTGCTACTAATTGAGCAAATTTTAATTTGCGATAATGTCAAAACACAAATTTAATTTTAAGGAATCGATATATGTGTTGTAAAAATGCATAATAATATAAATCAAATCACACAACCCAAAATTTTAATCCAAATATATGTACGTGATAAAATATCAATGGATGGTCTACTACGAGAAAAGAGTAGTATCCATCTTAATATATTGGAACGAGATAATCTCAACACAAATAAGACAATAAGATATGAAAGAAGATGAAGATTTGCATACCTTGATCATATTGTGATCTTACTCCAATATACTAAATTGTGTAGAGAGGCAATGACCAACCATGATTCTAGCAGAGTTTCGTGCTGATAACGTGTTAAGAAACTAATGAACTATAAATAACTACAAGAGAATATTAGAGGGGAAAGACGCAAAAGAAGAGAGGGGAGAGACATTTCTTATTCATTATTCACTTTTGATACAATGACGTGCTCTATTTATAGGCACACATTAATAACCACTACATACTTATATCAATGAGAGATAATAAAACATAAAATAGCTATCAGATGTAAGAATCAGGATTACATGTAACCCCCTAATCCCTAATGAGTATCTAATATGGTAATGACAATTGACAATGACCATCCATATTTTAATATTTATATAATAATTTTTCAATTCAGTTTTGTTCTCTTCCCTTCAATTTCAATGCAATCTTGTGCCAATGGAAATTGAACCGGTCAACGGTCAAGACAGAATGGGTGTTAGATAGTTCAGGATCTTCAGTTGCAAAAGAATTTGTTAAAAAAAAAGGTTAATACCTTAGTTTGGCCCGAACTATACACATATTTTCTATTTAGGCCCGTGGTATTGGAAATTGCTATTCTGGCTTGAACTATGTAACAAACTTCCTCATTTGGCCTGGAGGCGGGTTTGACCGTTAAATTAGACGGTCAAACTTGTTGACCGTCAGTCAATGTCCACCTCACCTGCCACGTCAGCTTTGAGGACATAATTTTTTTTTCTTCTGAATTTTGTTTTCTTGTCATTTGCTAAAAATGGGCCCTTTTTCGTTCTTTTAATTAATTTTTTTTATTTATTATTTTTATTAATTGAAAGAAAACAAAATTCAGAAATAAAAAATAATAATTTTTTATGTTCTCAAAGCTGACGGTGAGGTGGACATTGACTAACGGTCAACAGGTTTAACCGTCTAATTTGACGGTCAAACCCGCCTACAGGCCAAATGAGAAAGTTTGCTACATAGTTTAGGCCATAATAGCAATTTCCAATACCACGGGTCAAAGTAGAAAGAATGTGTATAGTTCAGGCCAAACTAAGGTTAATAAAAAAAAAAAAAAACCTTGATTGAACCGGTGGACCAAACCGAATCAATGCTGACCATTCCTCCAGTCAACTTTATCAGTCGCCCGGAGTCCAATTCAGGCAAGAAAGAAACCGATTGCTATCGAACGAACTTGAGCGCACACTCCCTCTTCCTCCGGCGGCAATTCCGGAACGTACGATCCCGCCACCAGCGGTAACAGCCGAAAGCTTCACCGGCGCAACTTTCTGTAAAATCGACGGCCACCGGTAGAAGATGACAGTATCCACCGCGAAGCTCCCGGTCATAGACCTCTCTTCTCCCGATCGCTTATCCACTGCCAACTCAATTCGTCAGGTTTCGAGTCGTGCTTTTCACTCCACTGTAACCACTCTCTCCGTCTCCCTGATTTTCTTCTTCTCAGGCATGCGTTGACTACGGCTTCTTCTACCTCGCGAATCACGGAGTGGAAGAAGAGCTCGTCAAGAGAGCGTTCGAGGAGAGCCGCAAATTCTTCTCGCTTCCGCTGGATGAGAAAATGAAGCTGCCTCGTAAGGAACACAGAGGCTACACTCCTTTGTACGCCGAGAATCTCAATCCGGATTCCAGTTCCAAAGGTTCTTGTTCATATTCGCATGTCTTGCTTTAAGTATTGTTGAGGCGGTTAATTCCGCCATCGTTGCTGCTTTATGAGTTGTGTTAGGCCTGTTCTGAATCAGGTGACTCGAAGGAAAGCTTCTACGTTGGTCCTGTACGTGGTTCTGGCAACAAAGCTGAGCTAAACCAGTGGCCTTCTCCAGGTACTATTATCATATTCCAACGTTTCCGCTATGACTTTTGAATTGAGCCGTGCATTACTCCCCTTGTTCTTTGGATGAGGAAATTTCAGAAGCTCTTCCTTCATGGAGGTCGACAATGGAGTCTTATCATGATAAGGTCATGTAAGTTATGTCTGCTAATTATAGCTACCTTTTTCCTTATTTAACCTTGCTTTGATAAGTAATACGGTACTTCATCTTACTTCTTGCTTGAAATGGCTGTTTAATGATGTGATTTACTTGATAGTATTGTGGGCTCATTATCTTTTTGGAATATTTTCATGCTTGCAACTATTGTTTTGGACTGGAAGGTGTCAGTAATTTCCTGGTGCTGATTTATTGCCCCAGGTCCGCTGGAAGAAGACTAATCTCCTTGATTGCTCTGGCTTTGAATTTGGATGAAGATTACTTTGACAAGGTTGGAGCCATGAATGAGCCGGACGCCTTTCTTCGTCTTATACATTATCCTGGTAGAAACTTATCATTCAGTTGTATTCTTACATGGGATGATTGAATTATCTTTTTCATAAGTGTACTTTCTTGATTGCATGTCTATAAGCTTTCTTGGTCCTTCGACTTTTATGAAACGAGAAGAATAGAACTTAAAAGGCCGAAAGAGAAGCTTATCCTTGTAATTTGTTCATTAATCTAATGTCAGGTGAACTGGGTTCTTCTGATGAAGAACTAATATATGGTGCTTCTGCACATTCAGACTATGGAATGACCACTTTACTCATAACTGATGGTGTACCAGGACTTCAGGCATGTGTTAATTGATGCGTCAAGTTGATTCTGACCATTACTGCTGAATCGTGAACTGCAGTGATGGTTAACTGATGTTGTGATTTTCATAATTTTGAATGCTCATAACCATCTTACAGGGCTCTGCCTGTTAGCAGGTTTGTAGGGAGAAGTCGAGAGAACCTAGGGTCTGGGAAGACGTACCACATGTAAATGGGTGAGTTCACCCTTATTTAAATGCTTCTGTATTTTGAAAGGTGTGGTATTTGGGTTGAATAATGTCTGTTTTAGCATCTCCATTACCTTCTATATGAAAATAAGAAGTGTCATGACAAGTAAGTAATTTAAGTTGAATGCTGGCAGTCATCTGCTTTAGTTCAAGCCTAATCTGACACCTCTGGTTTCCCTCTAAAATGTGCATTCGTCCTTTTCATTTTGGGGAGCTATCCTCCTTCCTTGATTGAGATATACTCTTATCATTTTGTTCATGGATCTATAATCAGATGCTTCATCGTCAACATTGGAGACATGATGGAGAGGTGGACAAATTGCTTGTTCCGGTAACTTTCTTTTTTCCCTTTCCCGTAAACTCGAAAGGGCGATATTTCCCACCCTCCTTGTTCATTAATATTAAAGCGTGCATGATTTTATGTGAAACAATAAATACTCCTCCTCCTTTTCGCTTCCCCCCTACTATTTAGTGATCTCTCTGGTAGTCCTTTCTAACAACATATTTGGCTAAATATTGGCAGGTCCACCCTGCATCGAGTGATGCCAACTGGACAAGAACGCTACTCTGTAAGTTTGACAGCTTGTGTTTACTTAAAATATGCCATAGCCTGTGTTTCGATTTATCTTTGTTCCAATTTGTGCTGCAAGTTTCTATGGTCAGAATTTTCTATCCTGTCAAGGTATTGCTGCCATGCTCTTCACGTGTTTCAGTTGTTATCATATGGCAGATGGCGTTCTTCTTAGATCCTAATCCAGATTGCATTGTCCAGTGTTTGGATAGTTGTTGCAGTGAGTCGTGGCCTCCCAGGTACTCTTCAAATCCGTTCTTTTATCCGATTTGCTCGTGGATGTTAGGATCGATATATGGCATTGAATGATCAAATGTTGTTGCCATCGTGATTCCATGAGATTTTGTACATGGACCATACTCTTGAAAGTGGTCTTGAAACTGCATTTGCAGGTTTCCTGCTATACGGAGTTGGGATTACTTGGCCGAGCGGTTTAGGCTGACCTATGGCTAGCGGAGTGAAGGCTTAGTGCAGAATGGTGCCTGCTTTCTACACCATCATGTAACTTAGTGGAGCATAATTCTTTTCTGTTTATTTACCGACCTCAAGCCAACAAGTGAACGGTTCCGAGTCTAATGTTGTGCTTGGCTGGTAGAGAACTATGTATTCAACCTAATTCGAATCGATTTGATTTGGAAAATCTAATAGATACTATGTTTCGGTGGGTTTTTCCCGAACCCGAGAAAAGAGGATATGGGTTTGGTATTTTAAGTATCCTTATGGAACCCGCTCAATATGTGCTACAACTATGGTTTAGACTCGCAAGCTTCAAAACTTCGGTCATCCTTATCGCTTCGTTATTCTAATTATTTCTTAGTCCAAATTCCTTACTTATTTTTCCTCACTGTATTAACTTACAAGTAAGAATGACATTCTAAGTAAAATTTCACTTTACATCGAGAACTTTATATATGATTATTCGATGATGGTGCTGATGAGTTATCCTAAAAAACATATGAGTAAGTTTTGGTACGTCTGTGAGAACTGCGGATCTAGGCGTGCGATTTAGGGATTAAACGAATTAGGGATTGGGAATTTAGGTGAGAAAGAAGGGAAATTTGGGATGAGAGAGAGAGCAGAATCGGGTTCCTGAGTTGGGAGCCGCCGAAGGTGAGAGGGAAGGAAGGGGGTCGGCCAAGGTGAGTTGAGAGAGAGAGAGTTGGGAACAATTTCTGTATTATTGCTTGCCCTTGACCTAACATAACATCATATATTTATATCCCGACTAATTACTGTTTACTACCCGAATAATTAACCTAACCGAATGAACCCTCACTATTCCCCTTCCCGACAATATCCGACTAATGCGTAAATAACAAATAGACTCTCAACAATTATGTTTCTCACAATCCATCCCCCTTGAAACCCACCTTGCCCTCAAGGTGGTCCATGGGTCTTGTCATCCTCCTTCTTGTCTTCTCCTTCAGCGCCCCGCTCCATTTCCTCGCCTTCATCCTCCCAGTTTCCGACTAGCAGCATTAAGTGACTCTTGGCGCACTGGTGGCCCACCGTATACCTCTCATCACAGTTGAAACAACGCCCGTCTCGGCGTTTCTGGTCCATCTCTGCCTGAGTCAGCCTCACGAACCCCCGCGGTGGTGCTCTGGCCGGGAATCGAGTCCCGGCAGTGGTCCCCGTCGCCGGAGGGCTTGCTGCCGCCGCCGGTGCTCCCGCCCCCGTACCGGCTCCGCCACCTACTCCACCACTGGCCTTCTGTATCCTGCCCACAGAGGATCTCCAGCTTGCTAACTCCTCCTCCTTCCTCCCTGCAATTCTAAAAGCCACCCGGAGAGATTCAGGCTCGAAGACCTTGACCGCAGTAGCCAGCTCGGGCCTCAGGCCCGCCATGCACAGCCCCACCAGTGTTTCTTCGGTCATCTCCTTGCATTGGTTTCCCAGCTTCAAGAACTCCGCTACTGACCCTGTCTGTTTAAGCTTGGCCAGTTGTTCCGGTGCCCAGCCTTCCGCCCTGCCGAACTGGTACCGGAGCTCATCCTGGAACCGAGCCCATGAAATCCTCTCACCCGCTGCTGCATACGCCCGCTCAGTCCACTCCCACCACTGGAGAGCATCCCCCTCCAAATAGAAGGACGCCAGATGCGCCTTCCTCTCCTCCCTGATCGGATGATTCCTAAACCACCTCTCCGCCGCATACAACCATAATCCCACATCACCAGTGCCATCAAATTTCGGAAACTCAATAACCGGCGGTTTAGCTTTAAACACCAGTTCATCCTCATAGTCATACAGAGGATTGCTGTATCCGTACCTGTTACCGCCTGATGGCTGCATCGAGTGACCTGACCCGTGACGTCGGTACTCCGGCCCCGCGTTCTGCCTCCTCGAGTAGGCCCAGTCGGCCATCTCGTGCTGGTATTCCTCGCCGCCCCCGGTCTTAACGCCGGACCCTTGCCCCTCCTCCAGCCTGCGCCCGGGTCGTGCGCCCTCGGCCCGTGGAGTGCCCCAGGGCGGGTAACCAGCCTCGGGACCCTCTCTCTCGCGCCTAGGCCCGCCTTCCGGCCCATACCCGCCGCTGCCCATCGGCCCGCGCCCCAGTTCAACCCGGTTCGAACCGGTCTGGCCCGATTCGGCCCAACCCAGTTCGGTTCGACCGATTCCGGACCAGCCATAACTGGTCCGGCCGCCCAATGACCCAACCGGTCGGCCGGTTGGGTCCAGCATGGGTTCAGTCACCCAGTTCTGATCGGGCCCATCTCCCATTCCTCCTGATCCGCGAAGCTCATCTCCTCATAGTCCGGGCTCAATTCTTCGAACTCCACCACCTTCTTCTGTCTACGGGCCTCTGCAATGTCTTGGGCCGTTGGAGCAGGAAGCAGGCCTGGCCCACTGAAGACTGGCGCGGAACCATCTCCCCTGCCCGCTCCTCCGGCCGGTCTGGGCCCGCCGTGATGGCCGCCTCCTCGCCCGGTCGGCCCTGGCGGCCGCGGCGCCCTCGATCCCCCACCGCCGGCCACCTCGCCCGGCACCGCGGCCTCCCTGCCGCCTGAAGGCCCTGGCGGTTTGGCCGCCGCTGTCGCCTGCGCGCCGCCCGCCGCGGCTCCAGCCGAGCCCGCCGCCCCTGCCGCGGCGCTCACCGCGCCTCCAGCTTCGCCCGCCGCCGCTCCTGGCGGCTCGGTCGCCTTCTTCGCGGCTGCCGTAGCTACAGCCGCTGCCATATTCTCCACTGCCTCGGGTCGATTCCCGGGGTTGGCTCCTTGCCTTGAAACACGCCGATCAAGACCTCAGTCATGGTGTCAGCCAAGGCCTTGCACAGCTTCTCTGTCATTGTCGTACCCATCTCCTCAATCGATGACGTAATCCGCTCCCCCAGCGCCTCTAGGGCTCCGGTCGAGTCTCGCGAAGCAGCAGCAGCTCGCTCTGTGGATGCCGTTAAGCTCTCCAACGTCGTTACGATCGCGTCGTACTTGTTGTGCGTGATGTCCTTCACAGTCACGATCTTCTGGACCTGTTTCTGCTGTTGCGGTTTGTCCATGTTCGACATCTCAATTCTTGCAGCTCAGTAATCAGCACGCCAGCCAGGCTCTGATACCACTGTGAGAACTGCGGATCTAGGCGTGCGATTTAGGGATTAAACGAATTAGGGATTGGGGATTTAGGTGAGAAAGAAGGGAAATTTGGGATGAGAGAGAGAGCAGAATCGGGTTCCCGAGTTGGGAGCCGCCGAAGGTGAGAGGGAAGGAAGGGGGTCGGCCAAGGTGAGTTGAGAGAGAGAGAGTTGGGAACAATTTCTGTATTATTGCTTGCCCTTGACCTAACATAACATCATATATTTATATCCCGACTAATTACTGTTTACTACCCGAATAATTAACCTAACCGAATGAACCCTCACTATTCCCCTTCCCGACAATATCCGACTAATGCGTAAATAACAAATAGACTCTCAACAATTATGTTTCTCACAACGTCATTTTACGTCCGACCTAATTTAGTTTGGAAATAATTATGATTTTAAAATGGTGAATCGAGATATGAATATAAGAAAATCGCATTCACTCGTATGTGTGTGCAAACCTTGTTTTCGTGGATCTTTCTTTATGGACTGAGCCCATTTACGAGTATAAACCTAGAAGACTAGGCCACTCTGAAGTTGGGCCTCCAGTCAAAGCCATGATTATTGCTCAGCCTGTTCTTTACGAAGAAAACAATAGAACAAACTCCGCCTCGCCTGACTTCTTTCCTTCTTCGGTCTTCCTCAATCCTCCCTCGCCGGCGGTTTAATATTCCCGTCGTCAAAGTTGACGTTCTGGTTGTATGCGGAGATACCTCTATTCCTTGAAGCTTGGAAGTTTAATGTACTGATTCATTTCCGGGCATCATGCTTTTTTTCCAACGTGGCGTGAAGTTTGAAACTTGAAGCTGATCTGGTCGTGATCTATTGGGTTAGTGTTCATCTTTCTTCATCGCCCATTGTTTTCTATTCTGATCCCGGAAGAAATCGAGCTTGGATTCAATCGGAAGCTTGTCGTATGAAGGAACTTCGTAGCCCCTTAGATCGTTTCCTAGGCTGCCTTCAACCTGTTCGATGAATTGTCTGGCTTAGCTGATAAACTTTCGCTTTCTCTCTAATCGCGTCAACACATTGAATGTTTGAAACCCATCTGGGATGTATATACGTGGATTGATTTTCTGGTGCTTGCTGCTTCAATTACTGGTTCTCCATCTCCTACCCAGAGTTTCAGCCATAAGGAAAGACATCGGCTTCCTGAGAAATCAGCTTTGTAGAACTACTGTTCAAGGAAGGTATCTGCTTTCAGACGAAAATGGCCGTGTATGCGATGCTCTATCGCTTGATCCCCGATTTCGATGTTGCCCCGTGAAAGGAGAGAGGTTCCCCTGTAAAGGATGCAATCTTCTCTCGCGATGTTGCAATTCCTATGAATATTGCGTTTCTTGCTGCCTGAATCCTTCCACAACACTTGCTGACGAAGTAATGAAGGTGAAGATAGCCAAGACTGCAACTTCAGGGACTTATCCGAGCATATTCGATTTCTGTTCAGGGAGGTGCCGCCATAACTCTGGCAGCGTGGTTCATGAGAATGCTTATATCAGCGAGTTCCACCACTGCTTCTCTCTGCCTTCGAATCAATCCGGGGATGATCATAGGCAACAAGAAGCAAGGCTGGTTGGGGTTAATGTAGTGATTGGTGGGCAAGGCGAGTCGTGTGATTTGGTCTGCAGGTCGAAAGGGCAGTCGTGTATTGTGAACAAGCTTCTGGTGCTCAATCAGTGTGAGATTATAAAGAAGTACATGAGCTGTGAAGGAGGGTGTTTGGCTAGCGTAGGGAGTGATCAGCCTGCTGAGGTTGTTGATGATGCTCCGAAAGATCTGAATCCCGGGACTTGCTTGTACACGAAGCCACAGTCTATGCTCTCATGTGACGGGTCTCATCCTCATACCCAGAGACTCTGCCCCTGTGCCTAGTGTCAACACAAATGTGTGAGTTGCTGATCTGAATTCACCCCAGTGCTGTGTCATTGAGAAAGTTTTTCTAACTAAGATGGAGTTAAGAATGATCATGTAAATTGTATGGGTCTCCGTCTCTTACTTGAACCTGCAGATGGTTAGTTGCTGTTCTGCTTTGCTTGTTTTATGATAGATTGCTTGCTTCAATGAAAGAAATACTACCTCAATTTTACGGCTTTTTTTTTGTTGTTGTTATATTCGTTACAATGCAATGTAGCAGAATAGCCTGTTGTCTTTCAACATGTGCAATGGTACAACCTTTGGTATTGCTCTTCTGTGTTTTAGTCTGCAGCTTTCCGCTGAACCTATCATCTTGTTCTTTCAATTTAGAGGTTGTGACTACGATGCAGTTTTTACGTATGCTGAAATACAGATGCGCACTTTACCTTTTAACACCATTTCAAATACATATTGAAAAGTGTCATTAGAAGAGTTTGATCTTAATGGTTCTTTCTTTGGTATTCAACCTGAAGATCTTATGTTCGAAAATCTATAGTACTTAGCAATAAAAAAATAAATTGATATAATTCTCACCTGGAGATCCCACTGAGAGGTACTCTCTTCTAGAAGCGCTCAAGACTTTCACAGCATAGAGCATAGTTATGGCGATAACTAAAATCGTCACACCAAGAAAGATAGATAGAGAGAATCGAGATGCTTCCAAACTCGACATCCATTAGAAGGAAGTGGACAATGGACAAATTGGGTGGGTCTTGATCTCAAATTAACCCACCCAGTTATATATATAATTGTGATTACCGTCCATTAGCGGGTGGGGAATGTGGACCGCGTTGCCTTGCCTTATCTCTGCCTGCCGTTTTGGGATAAATAGAAGTATAGAAGTATAGAAGTCATCTGGATGACTGGATGATTCCCCTCAAAAGACCCGAAGAAACGTTGATGCCTTTAGCTCCACAATCACCAAGTACGGAAGGATTTAAAGCAAAAGTATGAAGAGGAAACGAATTGCAGGAGAAAAGGCTAAGGGGATAGGATTATCTCTAATTTATTATTGGATTATCCATTTTAATTACTATATAAAGAAACGTGCATGGCAGAGTGTGTAGAAGATAGGGGTGGCAACCGGTCGGTTTCGGTTTAATCGAAAACCGAAAATCCGGTTATCGGTTAAACCGAGACCCCCCAAACTGCCGACCACCGATAGAAGAAAGGGCACGGTTAGCCGGCCAACCGACCGAGCGATTCCGGTTTTGGGCTCGGTTAGCCGGCTAACCGAAAAAATTACATTTTTCAAAAAAAAACAAAAAAAACAAAAAAATCTCCACCACTCCTTCCTTATCTCCTCCTCTCTCCTTCCTTCCTCCACCAGACCTCTTCTCTCTCCTTCCTTCTTCTTCTCTCACCTTCTTTCTCCATGGAAACAAAGATCTTGAACCGCTGGCCGCTGGGGACGCGAAGTAGAAGACCGCGTTGTGCGGGTCCTTTCCGGGGACCTGGAGGTTCACGGCGAGGACGAAGGATTTGAGGGATTCCCCCTCCGATTGGGCCCGGCGGAGGGCCTGGGAGACGCGGTGGCGAGGCCCAGCCGTTGGTTCCGGTCTCGAGGTCGACGTGGCGGAGGGTTCCGCCGTTGATTGATTCCGATATCCAGTCGGGTACGGTGGCGGCATCAACGGTGGATCTGGGCGAGGTGGAGGAGGAGCTCCGGTGCTTCTGTTTGGTTGGGGACATGGTTTTTGTTTCTCCGATTGCGGGGTATTTTCTTCTTCTTTCTTCTTGCTGTGTATCTCTGGTAGTTTATTTCTGGCGGTGGTTTTTTTTTTTTTTTTGTGAGATATTTCTGGCGGTGGTTGAGGGAGAAGTGGAGAAAGAAGGCCAGCAATGCTAGGGTTGGGGGGGTGGCCTATTTAAGAGTAGGCAAAACGACGTCGTTTCGTCTCGGTCGGTTAGCGTCGGTTAGCCGGTTAACCGGCTTCGATTTCTCGGCTAATCGCTCGACCACTAATCCCTTCCGTCAACCGACCGCCCCTCTATTTTTTCGGTCCGGTTAGCCGCTAACCGGCGATTAACGGTTAGACCGGCCGGTTAGCCGCTAACCGGCAACCGAAATGACAGCCCTAGTAGAAGATCATCATATACCACTGGAATATGCCAACCTCGTGCCACGTGGACGGTGGTCCAGCCACTTCCAATCCTGGATCGGATCTTGTCCCACCTCAAGGCTTTCTCAGTCGTATACGTGTCTAGCTAAACCCCACTTGTCCAATTTGCTATCAAACAAAAGATTGTCCTATTCTATTCGATTAATGGTCTTTGATTAATTTCGAAAATGTAAAAATTAAAAACTAATGATGATTACTTGTTAAGCTACAAGATTAAGGTGGACAGCCATTTTCATTGATCGAAAATTGTGTGGTTGGACAGCCATTTGATTTACTTAGAAATGAGTAAGGCTGGATTTGCAAATCCTGGCTTGGGGAAGAGATTGGATTTGTATGCACAATAATGGTTCGGTATTAGATATCCATAATCATACTGTGTGAAAAGCCATTTTCAAGGTGAGTGGAAGGGAAAGAGCACACGTTGAAACCGTGAAGACAAGTCATTACTCGTTAGTCAACGTCAACCAACGAGTCACCAAACCTAATCTCCAATGAATCACACGGTTAAATCCAACAAGCAAACTTGTACCCAGGGGACACGACAATGTCTTACTTGACTCCAACAAGCTTTGCTTTAGTTGTAAACTGTACAAGGTAATTACTAGTAAATCCCAGCTTTTAGGATTCGACATATCAATACCATCAAAATTGCTTTTTAAAAGCTAGAAAGTTATTTAAAATTCTAGATTTTCTGGTTCAGCCAAGTAACCAACACATTGATCTATAAAATACAATATTATCTATCGATGATAAAATCAATATCTATCGATTTTTATATACTTACATCCGATTAAACTAGTGATGGTAATGGGGCGGGGCAAGTACCTCAATACTCATGTCCCACCCTATGCTACTGCGGGTCAGAACAAGTAATACCCGCGCAGGTACGGGGCAGGGCGAATCAAACCACTCTTACTTGTTATTTGAAAAAAACACGCTAAAACTTACCTTTTACGATAAATCAAAAGGGAAAATAATTTATGAATAAAAAGAGTGATAATATAAAGGATAATTGAGTCTAAATAGTTGAAAGATCAAATCAAACTAGTTGAAAAAATGTCAAAATAAGAGAATTATTAATAGATACAGTAAGACATTGAGATAGAATATGTCTAAAATAGGAAAGAACGAGATGAAAGTAAATATCAATGCCCTATCCCACGCTACTACGAGTCTAGTAATACGAAATGCATTAGGGTGGATACTAGTTTTTTTAGTAACCATCGTGGCTACCTACATCTAAACCCTTCATTAGCTCTATTTTTTCCTTTTTTAAAACGACGATCAAGATTAAATTAAGGATAGTTTGGGAATCAAAATATTATCACACCAGATTATTATCTATAATTATAACTTACCTTCCCCAACCCTACGTCTACCCTCTCTACCCTCCCAGCTCCCCTCCCCTCCCGTCGGCCGCCTCCCTCACCCTCCCTCCGCCTTTTATCTCCAATCCTCTCGCCTCGATGGTATTGTTTTTGTCATATTGGTATTGATTTTATTGCATTGATATTGTTTTTGTCGCATTGGTATTGATTATCATGTAATGGTATTAATTTGCATGTATTGGTATTGATTTTTTGTGAAATGGTATAGATTTATATTCGTAATTTTCGTGTAGTGGTATAGATTTATTTCTGCAATGGTATTAATGTTTTCAAAGTGGTAGTAGTTGTCTAATGGATTGGTAGTGATTTCATAATTTTGTTTTTTACAAAAAGATTGAGAAAAATATGGAAAGGGATATGGCTGGAGATTACGAAATTAAGAGAAACCGAGAAAATTGTAATTAATAGATTTTTATAACTATCTAAATGTAATTATTAGAAAAATTATTATTACAATTTATTTTTCATACCCAATTTACCCTTAGTAACTACACCGTAATCTGTCCCCCCGTAATACTCGACTCATTTTTTAGTCAAATCGGAAAAGAACCAACGAGGCGAGTCCAAGCCGATTTGAAACACAAAATAACTTCAATTTGAACCAAGGTTTTCAAACCGGTTTAAATCATTGAGCCGGTCAAATAAGGAGTTTGAGGTTTAATGGTCTGATCGAGGTCCAACCAGTTTGATCCGTTTTAGATGCTTTCTAAATATATATACAAATAAGGTAGTAATTAAAGATTTAATGACTGGAATAAAATTTATCTTACATATATGTATTAAAAATTTATTTTTCACAAAATAAATCTACCTAACTTTCATGACACACCCACCATTTTCCTTCCTTCGTTCATCTTCCTCTCTTCCCCCTCTCTTCTTCTCTCACTTTAGGGGTCAGATCGAGGGTTTTCTGGAGGCCGTTTTGAAGCTTGACTCGGATCCAACCGGGTCCAACTAGGAGTTCGATAGGGTTTAACAACGTTGATGTGAACTATGAACCTCCCGCGCTGAATCCACGCCTCGCGGAATGCCGGTTGAGATTCCTTTCCCTACTTGTACACTTGACAGACAGCACCAAAGATAATCAATTGATTATATATATATTATATCAATTCAATTTAATCCCCTTTTTATCCGCCAAAAAAACATAACCCTATATCTATGGATATAAAAGCGGATATTATTATTTTCTCCCACCTGCTTCTACCCTTCTCTCGCTCTAGCCATCTCATCCCAGAGACGACACACAGAGCAAAACAGAGCGCCCCCGTTTCATCAGGACGGGTAATAAGTTCTCCCCCAATCTTTGCTATTTCCCCTAGATCCGAATTCATCAGCTCAAGCGTCAGCGCGGCCACCGATCCGATCCGAACCCTCTGATGACAAGGCGCTGCTCTCACTGCAGCCACAATGGCCACAACTCCAGGACTTGCCCCAACCGCGGGGTCAAGCTGTTCGGGGTCCGATTGACGGACGGGTCGATCCGGAAGAGTGCAAGCATGGGCAATTTGAGCCATTACACTGGCTCGGGTAATCCCGGAGGCGGTGGCGGTCCGAACATTTCCGGGTTGAACGCGCCCGGATCGCCCGGCGGCGATGACCCCGATCAAGGCGGCGCCGGTGATGGGTATGCCTCGGAGGATTTTGTTGCTGGGTCGTCCTCTAGCCGCGAACGGAAGAAAGGTTTGTATTGATTTTGGGATCTTTTTTTTTTATAATCATGTTCTGTTGAAATGTTTTGCTGGGTTGTCTTGGAAAAATTGGAACTTGAAACGGCTGAAGTTTTGTTATTGATTCAAGCTCTTACTCCATTTCTTCGCTGGTGGGGGAATGGAGAAGTTTGGCATCAAAGCAAACTAATCAGGATAAGCTTTCCCGTTTGGGTTTTGTTTTTTGGTGTCTTTTTCCATTTTCGTACAACAAGTTGAGATGTAGATGAGAATGGAATCCAAGTGAAAATTCAATTAGATCAGGGGATTGGGATATTTATTTCGTGGATTTAGTTGGTTTGCGCAGCTATGGATTTAGCTGGATATGGTAATACGGTTTGAGAAGATCATAAGTTAGTGGCTTCGATAAGGAATGGTAACCTTGTTCAAGCAGAATATGGTTGTGTTAAGTGATAGGAATTGATGATCCTGAACCTCGATCCAACATACGAGTTAAGTTCTTCAATTACCGGTCAAGGTATATATTAGGGGAACTGTAACTAATTTGATTTTACAGCAATTGCTTGGTCTGATACAGTGGATTGAGAAGAATATCATCTGGTACTTAGAGGTTTGGTGAAGAATGCTTTATATGAATGACTTACTGATTTGTTGTTGGAGCTGCCATTGTACCTTGGTGTCTGTTCATTTAACTTATGTTTTTTTGATAATGGTGAACAAATTTTATTAAAACAAATAAAGTTACAGGAGAGAAACTGTTCATTTAACTTATGTTATGTTAGAGCATCTCCATCAATGCAATTGCAAAAGAAATTGTATTTGTATTTTTTATTGTCAAAACTCAAATTTTTTGCAATCCACATCACATTCATTTCATTCACCTACATCAATGTAATTAACTTGCAGTTGAAAATGTAATTAAATATTATGTTTACATTATAGAAAATTAAGTAAAAGAGAGAAGAAAAGAATATAAAATAAAAAAATTCCCATTTTTGTAGGCTTTTTTGACTTGCATATGAAATTGCATTTGTTGCAAGCTTGCAAATATGCAATTGGTAGCCACATCAATGTAATTGGTTTTGCAATTACAAACACCTATGCCATGTCATTTTGCAATTGAGAATGCAATACCAATGTAGATACTATTAATGCAGGTGTCCCGTGGACTGAAGAGGAGCATAGGATGTTCCTGTTAGGCCTGCAGAAGCTAGGGAAAGGCGATTGGCGTGGAATTGCACGAAATTATGTTATATCAAGGACTCCCACTCAGGTGGCCAGTCATGCTCAGAAGTACTTCATCAGGCAAAGTAATGTCTCGAGGAGGAAAAGACGCTCCAGCCTTTTCGATATAGTTGCAGATGAAGTGAGCACCAGCCCTCATATTTTTGTGCATTTAGCATTTAAGGTCAAATCTAGCATTGCATGAAACAAGAACCTCTACTCAGCACACTATGAGAAAACCCCGCAGCTAAATCAAAACAAACAACCGGAAGTTAAACCATGGATCATACATTTTCAACATTCTGATCATGCACTGATGTGTTCTTTCTTCTTTGCTCTTATTTGCAGGCTGCTGATACCGAGATGACAACGCAGGAATTCTTGCCTATTGGCAATCCTGATGCTGAAACTCAGGAGGAGGATGACGTAATCCCTGCTCTGCCTCCTCCCTCGTTAGATGAAGAATGTGAATCGATGGAGTCGTCCAACTCCAACGAGGGAGACAGTTGTAGCACTCTCCCTCCGAAGCCTGATCCCCTGCAGCAGCAGCAGCAGCAGCAGCAGCCTGTATACCCAGTCATGTACCCTACATACTTCTCCCCATTCATCCCATTCTCTCTCCCATTTTGGCCGACTGGCTACAGTGCACTACCAGAGCAGCCGGCAAAGGAGGGGACCCACGAGATTCTGAAGCCAACTGCTTCGCATTCTAAAAACCCGATCAACGTCGACGAGCTCATCGGCATGTCGAAGCTGAGCCTAGGAGAATCGATGGGTAGTTCAGGGTCCTCTTCACTCTCAGTAAAACTGCTCGAGGGGTCGTCATCTGGGCAATCTGCTTTCCACGCCAATCCAACGGGAAGTAGCTCGAGCAGCAATCCTGTGATCCATGCTGTATGATGGGAGGGCTTCTAACAGGTGACTGTGTGTATAGAGAAGGTAGTAGACTCGTGATGTGCAGACTGGTTTTGGTGTTGTTTAGTGTCATTATATTGGTTTGTCGAATGATATTTAATAAGACCGTGGGTTAAGTTAGAGTCTGTCTGGCGTCTGGGTTGGTAGGTTCTTTGTAGTTTTTGTAGCATTTGTGTTGGTGTAGATGCTAGAGAAATTATTTGAATCTTTGACCTCTCACTTGTCAGTCAGTAGTGTCGGTTCTGGTTTTTCTGATCATCGTCTTTGCTCTTGCCTTTGATCTTCAATCCCGATTCAGAATTCAGATAGCTTGGAATTCGGTAATGATTTACGGTGGCGTGTTTCTTCTCCGTTTTCCATCCACAACATATGAGAGTTTTATAATGTTATATGTGTTATAGGTTTTTGTTTTTATGGTACAACTTAAAGTTGGTACGATTTCAGATTGTATCTATATTATTTTGTACTAATTCTTTTATGGTACAACTTGAACTTGTACATTTATGTGATGATACAATTTTAAGTTGTACCATAACAAAAGGGAACAAATTTCTTTATGATACAACCTAAACTTATAAATTTAATGTTATGGTACAACTTCAAGTTGTAGATTAAAAGTTAAAACGCCAATGCATTATAGCATAGTAAAAGTGCTCTTAAGAACATTGTAGGATGAAAATAAATCAAACTTTGAATCATCCAATTCATGGACATAAACTTCAACAGTCAAATACATAATACTAAGATCAGGTTGCAACCCATTATTCTTTTGTATCAACCTAGTCTTTTATTATCATCCTATCACTATAGCTCTTAAGATCAAGCTCCCGTACTAGCGGTTTGGTATCTCAACTTAATAGATGTAAAATTTAGTGCCGCAAATTCATTTTTTTCAAATAGGTCCTAAAATATTGATGGAATTAACGTATTAGGTCCTCAAATTTTTTTCTTACATTTTGATACGTGAAATTTTTAAAATTTACAAATAGGTCCAATTATGAGTTTTCTAGTATGCTTTGAAAAAAAATGTGTGTGCTGCTTTATGAGGTTTCTCGCATGTTACATGAAACTTGTGATATGCTTTAAGAAGCTGTGATATGCTTTTAGAAATTTGTGTTGTGCATTAATAAACTCGTGGTCTCGTTGAATGAACTCGTGACATGCTTTAGTGAACTTGCGATATGATATATGAGATTACTGGTATATTTCAAGAGACTTGTGGTGTGTTTTTATAAACTTGCGGTCTCTTTTATGAGACGAGCACTTCTACTATGCTATATAGCATTGGTGCTTTAATGTACAACTCAAAGTTGTACCATAACATTAAATGTATAAGTTTAGGTTGTACCATAAAGCAATTTGTACCATTATGTTATGGTACAACTTTACAACTTGAAGTTGTACCATCACATAAAGGTACAAGTTCAAGTTGTACCATAAAAGGATTTGTACAAAAAGTATAGGTACAATCTGAAGTTGTACCATAACGTAAATGTGCAATTTTAAGTTGTACCATAAAGGCAAAAACCTATAGCACCAATACTATATAGCATTGTAAAATTTCTCTTATGAGACATGTGGTCTGCTTCATGGAGTTCATGGTCTGTTTTAATAAACTTGTGGTATGCTTTATGAAATTTTTGGTTTGCTTCGTGGGACTTGTTGTGAGTGTTTATAAATTTGCGGCCTGGTTTATGGGTACTTGTGGCATGCTTAAATGAATTTCTGGTCTATTTTAAGAAACTTGTGGTGTGATAAGGTTGTGATATGCTTTCTAAACTCTGTGGTATGCTTAAGAAACTTGGTGGTGTGCTTTTATAAACTTGTTGTGTGGTGAGGTTGTGGTATGTTTTTTAAACTTTATAGTTTTTTTGGTGTGGTGTCTTGTATTTGTTGTGTATATTTGGTGGTATCCCCAATTAATTTGCCCCCTTCTCCACACACATGTTGGCTCCCCTTCCTCAATATTTCATTAACAACCTACATCCCCCTGCCCCCTCTCTCTCATTTATTAGTGTAAAAAAGTGCCTGATTGGACATAGTGTCACCAATGTAGTCAAATGCGTGTTTCTACGCAGAAGCGGAAACATGAGTAAAAACATAAAGCGTAACGTAAAAACGTAAGTTTTTGTGTATAAAGTAGTCACAAGGTTTTCATCCATTCAACGTGAGAAATCATATTATTAGTAAATATTAATCACTTAAGTCGGACATCAAACAACAAAGCAATAACTTGATGATGTCATGGTGTAACATCTTCGTCCCTCTTGAACATGTCATGTCATGCTCGCATCAAAGTGACATCATTCCAATATTTGGGGGAGTTTTAATTTATGAACCAATCGTTGAATTGATGAACGATGGCATGAGGAAGGTGTTTGATTTATTGGTTTATGGTTAAACTCATTTTAAATAATCTAAAAGTATGTGGAGTGAATTGAAAATTGTAGGGTTTAATTGTAACTAACGAAAAGTTGGATGGTTTAAGTGGAAACCAGATCTTTGGTTGAGCCAAATGGATATTTGTGATTGGGGAAGAGATTCCTAGAGAATGAAGGTGCAAAAATATGCACCCTCATTCATCTGCTTCCCCTCGCCCTTTTTGGTCCTTTCTTTCGTCTCCCACTCTGCATACCCTCATCATCACCAAAAGCAAACCTTGAAGCAACCATAAAATTTAGGAGTAATTAGGGTTAGCGAATTGAGAATGAAAGAAGAAGGAAAGCACGAGAGGATTAGAGGGGCTACACAATTTTTATTTTGCAGCAAAGCATTGCGTTTAAGAGGGAATTCCAATAAAATTTGTCGTTGGATCGTCCTCAAATTTGAGGGACACATTCCATAATTTTTAAGATCTGATCCGGCCGTTGGAATTGTTTTTATGATATATGGTTCATCGAGAAATATTGCTGGTCTGACAGGGTGCGACCCTGTTTTCGTGTAGCTGGCCAGCTGTTTTCAGGGGAGAAACCAACCGCTAGATCGTCATCAAACTTTGAGGAGAGGTTCAAGACTTGTTGTAAGGTGACTTGACAGTAGGGATCGTTGTTCTGATTGCTGGTTTGTAGGGAGAACGATATGAAATTAGTTGAAAGTCTAGCAACTGGAAACATACAAAAAGTATCAAAAACGCATTTTTTTACTGTTTTTGTGCGTTTTTACCATTGTTGACCCTTTTTAGTGTTTTTACACATATTACGTTTTTACATAGAAACTGAAGCATTTTGTCTAGTCAGAAATGTAAAAATGTGTGTTTTTACGTTTTAAAACGCATTTTGACTACATTGAGTGTTACCATCATGCTAAAAAAAAGTGTTAGCACTCTAACTTTTTCAAGTCGTCTCCTACCTCGACTTCCCTTTCCATTATCCTTGATTATAATATACTCATAAACATAATAATCCTAAGATATCCCCAAACCACCCTTAAATAGCCGAGTTTCCCAAATATTAGATATTCAATGTAATAAACTAAGGGAGTGTATTGGCTACAAAACTCCGCCCGGCAAAACCTTGCATCATGATATGGTGATACGAAGCTGTATCATCGTATCACTATGTCGTGATACGATAATTTGACAGGGCTTTTGCATGGTTTTGCAGACGAGAGCTTTGTACCGAAACCAAAACCATAAACTAATAATCCCCAGCTCTGACGATAAGTCATGCGAGTCATTAAAAGAAGAATGACAATGGTGCAAAGTAACAAAATTCTTATGTAACAATAATCACATTATATTTTAATTAGAATTACAACTTGTATCCGGAAAAGAAAAAATGTCTTTGAGTATAGTACTATAATTGCATAACGGTATCTTTTACTAGTAGGGGTTTTCAGCTTCATTTTTTCAGAGCGGCGATTTCACGAAGCGCCCTTGCTCTTTTAATTTCGCATTGTTCCCCCGACGTCGGGGGAACCTTCGTCGGGCCGGAGGGACACGGAGTTGACGACAGAAAACCGGCGTCCTCCTTCGGCCACGTCGTCGCCAAACACATCCTCGGACAAGGAAACGCAACAGACGCGGAAACGGGCCAAGTCCTCGTTTGCATGGATCGGAAAGATGAGTTTCTCTGAACTGATGTCAGACAAAGTGTGGTATGTGGCGGAGTCTGATACGAAAGACATCCATGAAGCGATGAGGGAAGAGGATATCGATGATGAAGTTCCCGACGAGGACAATCCCCGGTGCCCTACTATCCCTTTCAATGCGATGGAAAAGGCTCGCTAGCGATGGAAATAGTGGTCTGCCCTTATCGTTAAAGTCCTTGGTCGGACCTTCCCGTCACAACCTTCCCTCGGGATCGGGGGACCCATTGCGATTTGCTCGGAGTCACCATTGATCTAGATTGAAGTGGATCGAACACTTTTTTTGGTTTTAACTTTCAGAGCAAAAAAACCAATAAAATTCGGTATACGATTTGAAGCTATGGGTTCAGGAGTACGGTTACGTGTGAGGAAGTGTATTCACACCCCACAACGCCATAAATTGGTACTACCTAAATCGATTGGTTTTAAAGGAGTTGGGGGTGTATTATTATTATTTGGCTTATTTACGTACTTAATTATAGGATTCAATTAATTTGATGTTATTATTTAAAATAGATCACACGTCTATTGACGTAATTCTCAAAAGCAAAGAAAGAGTTTTGGTTAGTTGGACTCGAACCTATTGGTTGCCTACGTACCCAAGTAGTCGGGATCAAAGTCCACGTAGTTCGATTAAAAAAAGAGTGATTTGAAGTGTTAACGCTTACACGTTAAATTCTGGAGAAAATTTGTTAGTTGGACTCGAACCTATTGGTTGCCTACGTACCCGAGTAGTAGGGATCAAAGTCCACGTAGTTCGGTCAAATTGATTAGTTTCTTTAAAGAGGACTTAAACACGTTCTATTGATACATGATTAATATGATGGTTTGAGTTTTTCCTTGATTTGTGAAATTTGGTAGAGTAAATGTATAATAAGCACAATCATGATCAATTGATCCACGATAGTGTTATGTGTTTTTGATGTATAAGACTAATTGGATTAAAGCTAAACTAAGAATTCTATTACCTTCGACGGATGTGTGATTTATGTATTAAGTTTGTTGACAATAAAGTTAAAATAGGTATTAAAGCTAGCAAGTAATAAGTTAGTCTAAATGGTAAACGTGTTAGTTGCGATGGTGAGATGGAGGTTATGGGTTCGGAGGTGTTTTTAAACTATGATGATTTTTGTTTTTTTAAAGACAAGGTGGCAACAGGTAGATTTTAAGGAATTTAGAGGGTAATTTGGTATTTCTGGGTATAAGTGTGGTTTGTGACGACAAAACCCTACAACCCTAACTCACTTTCGCCGCCCCCAACTCTCTCCCTTTCTCTGATCTCCATCTTTCGGTTCTTCTGCTTATCTGGAGAAAAAAAATGGGAAGAACAAGAAAACCATAACTAAAATTCACCTATTCTTCACTTCGCCTCTCTATTTCTTCCTCTCGGTTTTTTTA